AAAAGGGAAAGGGCGCAAAAGACTAAGTAACTATGGAGGAGGGTATGTGAATAGGATGAAAAGGTTTCCTCTAGTTTAGAGTGAATCCTTGTGAGAAGTTTCTAGAAAGATGTGACAGAGTGATCTTGTTAAGAAGAGTAATATTTAATAGGAACTTAATTCGAGTTCAAAATGCCATAATTCCATTGATGGTTCCATCAGTCAGATCCCACAAAAGTAAATTGCGAATCCGGTACTTGACCGAGATTCTTGACTTCTCCGAACTTTCCGATATTTGCCCTTCCATAGACTTCCAAATGATTCTGCCAAAGTGGTCCGAGCTCCTCCGGTAGTTTCAATGTAAATCATCTCAAACCATCATAATTGATTCGATGAAAGTAAGTAGCAGGAAAGTGTGGAAGGCCTGTGGCCCGGAAAATACGAACTACATGTTTTTAAGTTCCCTTCCAACTAGTTTNAAGGCACAGTCAGGACAATTTTGAGGTACCCTTTTTAGGTTTAAAAACGGAAGCGTTGATATAAAAGAGTACATCGGTGGCGAAGAAAGCAAGAAAATCTTTCCACTTGAGGGCTTTTTAAACGTAGTGAATAAGGAGGTTGTACGAGATCACCGTGACGGCAACGGCGTGTAAGAGGTGTTCGGACGAGATTTAACTTGCTTCCATTGCGCAAAGAGATAATTACATCGAGCCGAAATCGTCTGAAACTGCCTCCCACTGTCGCCATGGGTTATGAGACTCTCATGTGAGAAGTTTTTTGAACACCTACATGGGAGTCTCTTAGAAGAGTGTAGCCTCTACAAAGTCGCTGAAACTCGTCCTCTATAGGTGTACATTAACACAATACAATCTCTGGCCCCTTATTGTGCCCTATCCAGGTCCTTTTACGACCCTATACTCGCATGTATGGTACAAGTGGGAGCCTCGAATTCATACTATAGGAGAATCTCAGAAACCATTTTTATCGTGAACTGTGCCTTCAAGGTATGTAGGACTGAGATCCTCAGCTTGAACAATAGCTAAGCATTCCAATTCGGCATTAATTTTGCGAGTCATTTTGAAGCCAGAGTAGCACGCCAGTCAAATCTTTTGTGGTAATTACTAAAATGATGAATTCTTCTTGATTCTCTCACTGGGGAATGGCGAAGGTCGTACAGGCAGATCTTTAAAAACGTAGGAACAATGGCTTAGCACATTATCTAAGTGGGGCAATTGTATGGGCCAGTCAGCGATATTGCCGGCTTTTTCCTATGCATCGATTCCGATATTTGCCCATCCGAGGTTCTTACATTTTGACGTTATTACCTGAATAATTAGAGAAGTAGGTTCATGTCCGTTGATGTCACTCGCATTTCCCTAATATCCGACCAAAGTTTCTGATCAAAATGACTATTTAATTACATCGAAGTACTCATGAGAGATAGCTGATAACATTACTTATATGGACTTTTAAGGGAGAGTCATAGTGCATAATACCTGGCTCCATCTCTGTTTTCGGAGTGCACAATCAGATGCTCCACGGAACTTCACAATGAAATGGCTATCAGCAAAGGCCTGGTTCAAGCATCGGCTGACCTCCTCAAGTCATTGTTTGGTATTCAGCCGTCTACCTTTCCCTACAATGATCCTGGGAGGGTGTCATCCCACATTTGACTTTGATGGACGTAAAAGTAAGCTCTCGTTGGAAGCGCTTCTTTTTGCCCTTGATTTCAGAATTTGCTCAAGAGGAACCCCAAAAAACTGTTCTTAGGACTGTCCCTCATCCCTACTTGTTCGCCGATACATCTGTCTAGGACTAGCCAAGGGCAACTTTGGACCTATTTATCACGAGGAATATGGAAAAGTGGAACCGCTGTTGGGTAGGATTCTGCCTTTTATTACCTTATCACTCATTGTTTATATACAGGCTAACATAGTCAACCAATCGTCACGTCTACACACTTCCGAGCAGCTCCTTCAGACAACATTTCCTGCTGTACACCTTACCGCTGGTTTTATGCGACGGACTATAACGTGTCCTGTAAGTACTTGAGGCCAGTGGAACTCCGACTACAGAATATCAGGGTAATCCTCTGCTAAAAATGATCTTACCAGCAGGCGTAGCCTGCCATCAATACAGCAATTGCTAATGCCTTTCACCTAATAGCTAGTAGCTCTTTATGAAGTCTCTAGTGTCAACTCTCATTGTGACAGCTTTGGAAAAAAAAACCCTCTACGGTTTGAATTGAAATATAAGGTCCGGTCAAAAACGAATTTTCAATAAAAAAAAAACATGGTCAAATGGTAGGGCGAGTCAGGGGCTCTAGTATCATTTGTTGTCCTTGACCCTGGTTCAAACCTGAGTCTTCAAGAATTCGCTTTACTCCTAAATTGAACCCTAGCAAGCACCTGACTGTAGAACAGGCCATCGCCAGTGGTTAATGATGTTCGAAGTCCCAGCTACCGTCAACCCTGTAACATGTTCAAGTAATATCCAACTACGTGCACAACCCTCTCATACAGGTGGGTATATCACCTTGGCCTAACCCTTGTGTAAGATCGTAATCTTAAGCCATGTCCTCAATAATGAGTGAGCCATTCGTCGACAAAAAATCGGGACGGATTTTATCGGTGAATTAGCCGCCTTCTATCATTACATTTCTGAGAGGAGGCAGTAGCAGCTGTAGCACGACATTACGGCAGTCCTTTTAGCAGTTCGAATGACAACCATCAAGTGTCATAATCGATTAGAGTGCCGTGATAAAAAATGATAACTGAACAACTGTCGTATCGCTCTTGATATCGATATCCTCTCGAGAGACAATGAGCACTGCACGGCGAATATTTCGAATGACTCTGGAATTGTCACCCATCAGCACAAGAGGGACCAAGTTCATACACTATCCGAAAACCCCTTCTGATATTTTACTTACCTCTTCGCTCCATATCAATCAGATCCGCTGCGTTAAAATCTTACAGGTGGCTAAAATGTAGACAATTTGGAGCACTGCTGGGAGAGCAAATAACATTTTCTGGTCGGCGATCCGTAGGGATCCCCGAGTCTATTAAGGATCATCGTATGTGAGAACGTGATGTGCTGCCTTGGTTGGAGAACTCCTCAGGAGTTCGTTCAACAATATGGGGGCCCGTTTAGGGAAGCATTAAACGAAGGTCCTTGTGGAAGACGTTTTAGTTTACTCTGAAAAATTTTGAGTTCAGCCTTTGCTCTGCCCTTCTCACCCCTTTCAGACTGACGCTTTTCCAACATTTCGAAGTTATGGCACTGAGTGCTCGGTAGAAGGTGGGGGTGACGAGGTACTGAAAAAGCCAATCTGAATGATACCGTGACTTAGTGAGATGACCACAAAAAAGCAAATGGTTACAATAATAGTTACTTACGGATGAACAGTTGTCTTCGCTATGCGGCTAAGCTCCTTTAGCTACTGTGTACTAAATCTATACGTCCATCTGCGTCGCAAGAGCCACTCGTAGGACCCTTAGCTCAGCGTGAAGACGAGTCCGCACGAAACTCATTTCATTTCATATAGACCCATGCGTAAACCATGCCCTTCAATCGGCTTTGAGAAGTATAGTCCCAGAACGGGACTTTCCTTCACATTATCACCTAGTTTGAATTATTCATCCTAATTTTCCCAAAGTGGTGATATGGAATAAGGTACGAGCTCAAAATAGACGCCAAAGGGACAAATTCCTATCGAAATTTTCGGAGCCTTTCTGCACCGATGCACAGGGAGAAATCTTCAACCAAATGGTAATGAATGGGAAAGTGTTCTATCTTTTCTCTTCGTTCCTTTCCAACGAGGTCGTCTGATAGTATGGGAGCCCTGACCTGTATGTACATCGTATAACCTCTCTAAGTTATTATGGGGCACCTGGACAATCAAACGCCATTGCTATTATTCACAGAAAACAAAAGCGTCAAAGTAAACCGAAGAATTAGCACGAAGTTTTAGTCTTTTTATTCGTTATTGCGCCCCCCCCCCCTANTGATGTTTACCAGAAGTTCATCATCGATTTTGTCCAATTCGATCTGAAGCATAAACCATCGGGTCTCACTTCCAAACTCGACTCCGAACCATTCCTGGATAGACGTCTTTTTAAACTCAACTAGCACTGAGAGTCCTCTCTCACTGAAGAACTTGAGCCTGTTTTTGAAGAGGGCGGATAGGGGGAATAAATCGTTTACTAATACTAAGCAGGAGGATTCACGGATTCACGGGATTGATTTTCTGCTTCTGCAGTATAGAGTCGAGTTTTACCTACTACCTTCTCGCAGGTGTATCCATAAATGCGCACTTGTAGAGATTGCGAGTCGCCCCTTGGAACGGATATATACAAAAAGGTTATTTATATCAGCATTTATTTCAGGTAGCAATATTTAAACGCGCACAATTTGCTATCACGAAACTTTTGATAATATTACTCACAATCTTTAGTAGAGCTACATAGAATGTAGCATCATCACATATCAATCTAAAACTTACAGTCTAGCATGGAATTGTGAGATAACGATAACAAATCAGTAACAAATATAACTTTGAGCCCGTAATTAGTAAAAACTCACAATGATTGCATTTAAATGCATCCAACATGCCCTGCAATCTCACAATAATGGCTAGGCATCATGTCTCTCTTAAACGAGCACAATAAATAGACATATCGGTAACCTGTTATTCTCAGGGTGAAAAGCTCGAGTTCGGCTTTTAGCTACATTATAGAAAAGTGGCTTATCCTTGTTTAGCTTCACCTACACTACAACACCTATATCAGTCACTGGTCAAGCCTGTTCTGTACGATATATCTTGAGAGTGCTAACAACTGAATACAAGGCACAAGAACGAGGGATGTTCTGTTGTTTCAAAACTCTATTACATATAATTTACAATGAAATATTGATTTTACGCGCATATGAACGATATCCTTAACATGAATTTGAGAGATCTATAGTGCGAGAGCAGTTTCGTGTTGTTTACGCAATTCTATGGTAAAATAGGAATCCCGTTAGTATGGCCCTATCATTGGAGCTTGCTCGAGTGGTGGATAGTTGTTATGAGATGACGGCCAAGACTCACGAACAGCTCGTTTCACCACCACAACTTGCACAGCGAGGATCAACTTTTTCGATCTGAAAATCACATTGACGTACATTCGCTAAGAATCAGATATCGTATGAAGACAGAGGGGGAATACAGGAAAAAACACGCTGCACGGCTTAGCACCTTTACCCAGGAATATGCAAATATTTTCCTTTCTCATGATAAATTCCTCTTTACTAGCTAAGAAAAGATAAAGCAAAGGAAGAAAGAACAATTAGAGAAATAAGTTGAAGCACGGACAAGCAAGGCTTTGCCCAGCATAGAATAGTTCTTTGCTTGCTTCCAACTCGCGAAGTACTTTGTGTAGGGAAAAGAGAAATAACAAAAGAAACCACCAGACGGAAACAGTACCTCTCCAAAATATCGCTACTTTTGGATGCTAAAGAGCTTTTATCGTATTTAACTCACATCTCTGTATCGCTTATTCGTATCTGGAGCGTATTTACACCATTGACTGGAGTAATGAAGAATATCATGTGATCGCCTCGTTCAACAACACTTGTCGGTTCCAACGGTCGTCCATTGTGCATTGGTGCTTGACCAAGCCGCAATCCACCCCAACACCGCGCTTGCCACTGTAGAAATAAATAGCATACGACCAACGATCAATCGACCCATACTTAACTATGGGAGAAACGTAACCCCATAGAAACATAGAAAATAATGGTGAAAAAAAAGTCCAAGGAACAAAAACTCACTATTCCTCCTTCTGACTTAACACTACATACGTGCAGAAACAGTATATAGGCGTATTGACCATTATCTGGGAAAGGCCCCGCCATGTGTGAGAACTAAAAAATTGATGGATGAAGGAATTAAAATGAGGTTTTTGACTGATTGGTTAAGTCTAATAACAAAGCTGCCATCTGAGACAACGTTTCAAAAATGATGGATATAAGATAGAACTCAGGTTTCTTGAGAAAACTGTTGCTCCTTTCCAAATAACAGCCACCTTGATATCAAGATTGAGCAACTCCCATCAAAGACATGAGTACAAAGATAAAAGGAGGAGTCTTAGACAATAATCATTCCCATTTTTGAGATGCGTCCTGCATTCGACTCCCACTTATAATCGTAGCAACGATTTGAGTGCTTATGTGACCTCTATAAGGACTCAGACGATGTACAACTCAGTTCTTTTATCGCTATGTTTGAAATCAAACGACTTCGAAGAAATGAAAATCATGGTCTATATATCAAGGAGGAATTTAATCCCAGAATCTGCTTTCACAGTCCGCGATTTGTCCCGCGAGCTACGCGGGCGGCGCTTGCCCCTTCTTTACAACTGAATCTTGGTCGATTCCGCCGGACGAGTAGTCCCCCGTCGCTCGCTCGCGGCCAAATCGCGGACTCTGAAAGCGAGACCATGCATGAGTGATAGTGCGCCAATTCCACTACACCACTTCCGCCCTATTTGGGTACAGGGAAAAGGGGTTTCAAGTGGGCATATTCTTCGAAGAATGCGCATGAAGTTAAGTAGTCGTCGAATTCATCTGAGCTGTTAGAAAGGTTCTTAAGCTCAAATTTATTAATCACGAATCTGAATACATGTGCCGAAAAAGCTCACGTTGAACGAGAAATTAGGTCCGTCCGCGAATGGAGCGAGAAAACAAGGCGATGCCGTTCGTACTTCTGTCAGTAGCCTGCAAATACGGAAGTAATTTCTTGAGGAAAATCTAACGAGGATCCAAGCCATAGACTGCAAAAGCTAAGTCAAAGCTACTAAAGCAAGGGTGGGCTGAAAAATAGCACAAATTTCGTAGACCGCTCACCTGTATACTTTCCGTCGAGCTCTCTGTAATTGACTTGAGACTATTCGTGAGTGTTTGGTGAGTACTTCGAAAGCACGTCGTTTTCGCAAGTTCTCTGGTTTTCTAAAGGCAGGGTTCATTGAAAGAAAACTTTGAATAAAGTGCGTGACTACGGAACGCAATTATTGAATAAGCAATGAGCTGACAAATACCCACCTTCGTTCAGCATTTTCCAAGGAATGGAACGCGGCTCCAGCTGATAAAAGAATTTTCACCATTTTTGCATGATTTTTCGTGTACGCTAATGACAATGGAGAGTTCCCATTTCGGTCAACTACATTGACCGGTGAGTGGAACGTTATCAATCGAATAACGCGGCAGACCTGGAAACTTGATTACAGTAGTCCTTCAGAAACTCTTTCAGAAACAACGCACTCAGAAACGGATCACAAACAACCAACCTGCCCTTTGTCAACGGCGTCGTGTAGTGGAATCTTGCCAAGATTGTCACGACCACCAAGCAACGATGGGGCGATATTGCAAAGCACTGTCGCTACATCATCTCCAGCATGACGCCCATCACATTTTGTTGACCGGCACAACTGAAGTTTTTGGTTTTACGGTAAAAAAAGGTTTGTAAGTAATGAAATAACGCGCGGTAAGATCAGTACGAAGGGAAAGACGGCAAGAGAAGATGTTGCTATTCACAACACACATGAGTTACTCTGATGAAACAAAAACAAGAAATACTGTACATGAACACAAGAAGGGTTAAATGGGAAAAGGGAACAGCAAAATTAGGAAACCTGTCATCAAACTGAGCCATGGAACTCTATGAACAAACCCCACATACCAAATGCAGTAGGTTTGCCCCGTAAGGATTCGTCCACAGGGCCAGGCGAGGAGCCGTCAACACATTGTTAACCATTGCTCTTCGTACACGCATAAAGTTACCAGACAAAATCGCTTCATTGAACTGCTGAAAAAAGGAAACTTCTACCGACACAGAAACAAGAACAGAACACAAATCACAAATTCAGTACGTACAAACTAGACAATAAATAGCTAAGAGAAACTTTCAAAGCGTAAAAACTAAATCGTACATCTTGAGTATAAGGATGCCTTTCATCATCTCCATAATATTTGATCTCCAATTCCCGTAACATATTGTTAAGTACTTGAGCTGTGAGAGGTTCATTTATGGATACTGGTCCTGGCAATAGATGGAGAGCACGTCGCCGGCCCTGAATATAAAAGCGGATTTATTACTAGTAAAAATGTACGGACTCGATGGGCTAGTCTACAAACAATTTACCATTAACACAGGCTCTTTCGGTTTCGAATCTGATTCAGAATTTTCAGCGGCTACTGCGTTATTCGGCTTTTTGTCGGCAGTTTCTGCAGGCACCGGCTTAGCTTTTGTCGCTGATTGGGATGATGGCTGATCCATCTCCATATCAGTTTCTTGCCCTGACAGTTTCTTCTCAGATTGAATTGAATTATTCTCTTGTGACGGTGGCGAAAGAACAGTGTCTAAGGATGTCTTCTTCTCTCTTTTTTTCTTCTCTTTTGGAGTTTTTTCCGATAACGAGCGCTTGTCCTTCTTTGCTGGTTTATCGGCTTCTGAAAACACAACGATGACTGTCAGAAAAAATGTCGGCAGTAAAGTAACGAAATGTGGGATGAGTACATAGAACAAAAACGTCGAGAGTATCGGATGAAAAAAGGCTATTAAACGTACTCTTGAGCGTGAGCTTCAGCACTATGGGAGGTTTGTCACCTGAGGACGGTGTAGCTGCCTGCAAGAAAAGCAAAGAAATCAAACAGAAACTGCCCCCCAGATTGAATGCGTATGAATCACTTCAAAAAAAAANNNAAAAAAAAAAACAGCGAGTGTGGTCCCATTGGAGCTGTAGTCGCTACTTTGAATCGGAAAGCAATGAATTTACCTGGTCTTCACTCACAGTTGATGAGGTAATAACCACGGTCTCTACTGGTGCCTCATCCTAGAACAGAATGAAATGTAGATTCATGAAAGCAATTGGATAATTCTGTTTGAAAGCTCAAAAAGTGAATCAAAGAAGCAAAACCACCGCACTAAACTAGTGAAGAACTGCTCCCTGCCATAAACTGAAGTAGGTCAGCAATGAAATGACTGCAACAACCTTTTTCTCAGCAGCTTTCCGTTTTGCTGCTTTTTTAGGCGGTGCTTTGGGCTTTCTTTGACGTCCTTTTGGTGCTGCTTGAGGCGTGGGACTGGCTGAACCTCGAGAAGTGTCCTGCAAGAAAGACACTCATCACAATGATAAAAATGAAGGCGACATCAACAAGGTATCAGTACTGTAAGCAGAAACACAAGATAAATAAGACTCACATCAGGAGTCAGAAGTTTGGATGTGAGTGTTGGTGTGTTGGACCGTGAAGCTTCTCGTGATGAACCTATGAGCGCCTTTGTCTGACTCCTGGTGACCTTCACAGACGGATCCGTAGTTGTTAAAAACTAAAAACGAAATACACTGTGGATCACAAAGAGTTCGCCGTGCTTGAAACATTTGAATCCCATTATATCATTAATGTGATCTGATTTTACAGATTGAATTCTCCTCTTAATTGAATAACCGCAAATACATACACGCAGAACTTACAAGTTCAGTAGCTGAGTTTTTATGAGTAGGATCAAAAAGTTTCTTCAGTTCACTAGGCGCGTCAGCCAGTGCAGCGGCCGGCTTTCCATAGAAAACATCATCGGCCTGAAGTTCTCGTGGCTTCAAACAGCTACTTTCCTAGACATAAAAATTTTTTCTCTGTAAAACACAAGCAGAATAGGCAACGCATGCCCGGAAAAGGAAAGATTATATTCACTTCTTTTGTGACTATCTCCGAAACGTACTCCCATCGAGGACCACGCTTTGTTCGCTTGGCTCTCCTCGCTTCTGAATGACCTTCATGAAGTTCTATAAAACACAGAAGGATAAATACTGTAATAATTACAGGATCAATCAAAGGAGAAAAGCAGTATGAACCAATGGAAACAATTAAGGTGGGAAAGAGTGTGTGGGATAGGTGTGTGCTAAGCCTGGCGTCGCTCGAGTGATGACAGATCACCTTCAGATGGCTATAGTGCATATAAAATAGAACGCGGACAGCTTAAGATTTAGAAGACTCAACGGTCTTGCTCACCAGATATGTCACCTGCGCTCCCTTACACACCTGGCAGCAAAAAAAAACGTTCATTTTGAAGGGGAGAAGAGAGCCTAGGTCTCGCTGAAAGGTACTTATACTAAGGATTGGGAACTATGTGACTGGTACATAGGAAGACTTGGAAGAGTTAAGAGAATTGAAGAAAGATAAAGAAATTGCATGTCATTGGTGCTTACAACCTCACATCTACAAGAATAGATGAAATAGCTTTGCAAATACAAAAGTCAATCCCAGTAATAGTCAGAAAACTCACTGTCAGCCTTGAGTAACTGCTCTACCTTGTCCTTATGAGCTTCTCGGAACTCTTCCAACAACGCTTTACTTTCAGAACCTGAAATCCATTCAACACAACCACTCTTCACGATTGTGCGGGAGCGTCGTAGCGCGAAATACGGTGGCGAAGTAAAATGTGTGGCCAAAATACGTACAATTCTTACCGGTAAAACTCTCCTCAGGCTCCCATGTGTCCTCGCTAGGCTTGCAACCAACCCATCGAACGCGATATTTGAAAACGCCATTCTGCATTTTAATGTCCTCAATGCTTTCCACCTGCAACTAGTGTACGAAGATAATGGGAGCCTCATTTCAGGTGCACTAGAACCCACAAACATACAGTCGGCATTCAGGCTCAAAACACAGCAGAGACAAATGGACCTTCGAAGTCGCTAGGCTTTAAATAAGGTCCGTAGCTACTAAACCTGCGGATATGAGACTCTTTTTGTATCATTTAGAATCTAATCTCCTTATGTCCTCTCAGTTTATCAACTGAGTAGAACATTTAGAAGGAATCAGACCACACCATCAGCTTATTATAACTAGCCAAATGAAACAGGGAAACAATGCCTGGCGCGACCCAAAGCGTACCCATACTACACAGCTCGCTTCCTCTAATCTATAACAAATATAACAGCTACTACCTCATCGCCTTCCGACTCTTCTCCTTCTTCATCGTCCATTTCTTCGTCTTCATCTTCTAAACCGGCATCACCCAAATGAACATTACCTTCAAAGGCAGAAGCTGCCGGCTAAAAATAACATCACTAAGATTACTGACTCGTGTAAGCGGCCTCACGCTGTCCTAGGGCGCTTCAGAGTAGAGCGTTGAGCGCGCCGCCGCTTACTATGCTTGAACTTGAGCATATTATTTTCCACATTAGCAGAGCTGCATACATCTCGTTCATAATGCTATACTTTCGTCACATTACACCACAGAACTCAAAGATGAAAAATAGCTATTTGTTTAGGGAAAAGGTAATGAAAAAAATGAACTACAACCAATAAAAACCCTACCGAAAAATTTTGGCCGCTGACAGGTGAGCTATCAATCGGCAACCGACCTGCTCTAGAGCACGCGCTCAACGCTCTACGCTCAACTCAGTAGGATGCGTAGATACCTAGCACGGGTCGCATATGAGCAGCCAAAGTGTAATTGAATAGGGATAGAAGAGGGAAATGAGAACATGAAGGGGACGTAATTAAGACCCAAGGTAGCTCTCTTGTTGACCATGATGATTCACGATGGCAAAACTTTTAATTTGAAAAGCTGCTCAAAGCTGTTCTTCCAGCTAGGGTTTTTTCCTATTCACAGGCCTCCTCTTTTGGAAGGGGATGCGCTTAGGCAAAACCAACCCAGTGGATGCACCCTAAGCTATTCCACTAAAATATGGAGAAGAAATACGGAAACTTCTTACTTTTTCTTCCACCTCACTATGGCCAGGTTCGTCAGACTCCATTTTCTCCTCCTCAGCGGCTGCCATCCTTGAAAGTTCCTCCTCTCAGTGAAATTCCTTAGATCTTTCCAGTGATAGCAGGCTTAAATGTCTCTTATGTGTTTTCAAAACTTGTCGTCAATGGCATTATCATTGTTTCAAATCAAGTGAATCAGTCGGATTGATCGACGGTCATCCTTGATCCAAGTGCACGACAGAAAACAAAACATTTCTTTATTATTTATTAACATCAAAAGATCATTGTCCCCGTCAGTCTTGTGGAATGTTCCAACGAAAGTCAGGCTGTAATCGACCCATTGATAATGAAGCTTGTAACGTACAATACACAACTTGTCCTTTTATCTTAAAACCTCTTAAACTCCTTTATCGAAGACTGATTTAAAGTCGACCTAATTTGTTCTCAAGCTACATCACACAACAAGCAATAAGGTTTATTTCCACATCAAATCTAATACAATTACTTATCGAAGTTTAGAAAAATAAAAATGATTAAATCGACAATCAAAGGCCGGCGGTGCAAGCTGTTCAACGCAGCTGCACGCGCCTCAATTTGTGTTAGAGCGCACAAACTAGCGCAAAATTTCTGCGTATACCTCGAAGCGAGCGAGTTGCTGTTCCTATGCTTTCCGCTTTAAAGTGTCTCCCAGAAGTTCTTAATTGAACTATTATTTTTCATGCGGAATGAGGCGGGCGGGTAGTAGTGCGTAGCATCACTTTAAAGGTCGTTCACATCAATTTATTTGACTTCTTCACATAAGACATTTTATTTAAATTTTCGTACCTCGACCATACATCACTACTTTACCTAACTAATCTTATGGTCGTAATTTTGTGTTCTGGTTGCTTGTGCAAGACTAGGCACCTAAATCGACTTGGCATCATTTCCGGATTTTGAGATACAAATCCAATTTCTTGGTTTTCTTTTTTTATTATAGTCCGAAAAATTTTAATTTCTTCTACATATTATGTGTTTGATTGACGGCCGTACGTTCCATATATTGCGGATTCTTTCGTTCCTATTTATTCGTGAATATCCTAAATGTTTCAGATGATCCGTTCCGGGATCTCTATGGTTGCACGACAAGTGCAAGTACGGAGCTTAACATCTGGCAAAGATCTACCCGTTCCTCGTCTGCATGATGCTAAACGAAAGGATGTCGAAGACATTTTGCAGCCAACTTTTCCGAAGGTTAGCGAAGGCCTTTTCCTCATTTTTTTGCCAAAAAAAGCCACATATTTTGAAGGTTCCTGTGACGGTAACAGGTGACGAAGCTGCAGAAATTGGTGGCAGGCCTGCAGAACATACAGAGGAGCGTACTGTTCGCATATTCAGAGCAGCACGAGAAGCTACACAGGCTCCATGGGGAAACACAAAGGTTTATTTTACAGTCCCCACACAACCCTCCAAGCCAGTCAATAGTGAAGTTTAGCCTGGTAGTTTTTAGTTTGGTTACGTCATATTAACTTTATAACTGGTTGTGGACGCGTATTGTTCGTGTGTACGTGTACTTCCAAAATGACTCTTTGCTTTCAATCGCAGACCAACCTACAATAGTATCGCAAATAATTCTCAGCTGCAATTCTAACTTCCATTTTAAGGCGTGGAGGATCGAATTCGATAATCGCCAACGTTGGGAGAATCCGCTGATGGGTTGGACCAGCTCGTGAGTGTTTAAACCTTTTTCAGCGACTTCGAAATTTCCGTCTTTCTCAATTCTGCATCAATCCTTTGGCTTTGATAAACTTCAACGTCTTTCCTGATTATGTTCTCTTTCCATTCAATCAGTCTCTTTCCTAATTTCGTTATTTCTGTTCGCTTTTGGAGAGCTTTCTCCTAAAAATTTGTTTATGTCTCTGTAGAAGTCTCCGCCTTAGGCTATAACTGCTAGCCTCTCTCTGAATTCAATAAAGGCGTTTGCGATGTTGATATTATTATAAGATTGTTGGTAATCCGCTCGATTGAGATACACATCATAAAGCTGTTATCATTCAGAGGCGATCCATTGTCAAATTTATCTATGAACCTGAAGTTTGCTAGCAAAGAAGATGCTATTGAGTTCTGTGAGAAGAATAGGTGGCCGTACGAAATAGAGGTACGTGTGTTCACGATTTCACGGCTTCATTTCTAGTCATCCGCGTTTTAACAATCTCACTCATTTTGTTGTTCTACATCTTTTTCCAGAAGGAGCACGAGCGCAAAATCCTGCCTAAAAATTACGGATCGAACTTTGCATGGAGCAAGAAAACTCGTGTCAGCACTAAATAGATTGTATAATTACTTGCTCGAAGTGATATTCGTGGTGAACTTAGAGACAATAAAGAATAGGTTTCGAAAATGTTTTTGTGCTTTCCAAAAGAGTGGTGAAAGCCATGCAGTATCCAACTATTTAATGCCTATTTTTGCGTTTCGGATGTATCAGTCTCCCTTTTCATTGAAGAGCCAAGGTAAGGCAATCACTTTTCGACATGTCGCTCGCCTTTGCACCTCCTGAATTACGTCAAGGTGTACCAGACCATCGTAGTACGGTTCAGGCACTTCTTAATGAGAATTCATCGTTAATCAAGTCCATAAGGGATTACCTGAGCATGGTGAGCTGTTCTTGTTCTCTGGTGTATTTGAGAGGTTGTATTCTAGTAGCACAACAACTTCTTTTAAGGGTCGCACCGAAGAAGCCGCCAAATATCAGCAGCTATTACACAGGAACCTCATTCACCTAGCTCAAGCAGCCGATCAATCTCTTCTGCCACAGTTAAGGGTGAGCTTCATCGTTTGTTAGGAATGGCACGTGCAGTTTGATTGGTGTCGAGCTCTTTTTTACATCACTTTATAACTCTTAGGTAGTTTGACGAACAAGTTTGAACCGTCTAATAGTTGGGCTTTTATGCCACCATTTCATTTTTCTTTGTAGTACTCTGTCGGTACCGTTACTTTTGCCGTTGTTTCCTATCATTGATACATTACGGACCCACCAAAGGGTTTTAGAATATTCCTCTACGGTCTACCTAGCTAATACTGATTCTCTCTTATTTCCTTTGTCTTCAGGACGAGAATCCTCCAAACGATGAGAATTGTGTACAACCAACTCCATCATCAGAAGCTGGTCCTCCATCTGGAGCACCAACACCGGTCACCGCCCCATATCCAGTGAAACAGCCTCAACCCACACCGCCCACAATGATGGCTCCACCAATGATGCCTGTTCAACCTCAGCCGGCACCTGTACCCACTTCTCAACCACAAATGGGTATGCCAATGGGACCACCGCAAGGTTACGGATACCCACCACAACCTATTCATCCGGGAGCCCCTGTTGGTGGTCCGCAAGTCATGCCAGCTGGATATCCACCTCAAAGTTACGAACAGTCAATGATGTATTCACAACAGCAACCTCCACAACAACCACAACAGCAGTACATGCGTTAAAATTAATTGTCGAACAGGTGTGCGCGAATCGCTGTTATTGAGCGTGCGGTCGTGAAGCGTCAAAATCTATTTTATGTGTACGCCTTAACTCATCAATTCCAATGAATTCTGACTTATTTTATTTATCACTTGATTAGAGTGTACAATTACAACATCGATTCAATCTAGCAATTCGCACTGGAGCAGCTCTATTGGTTTTCCTTCACACAACTATTCTATGTAATTATTCATTTCCTTGCAATAAACATATTCAGAGCATCATGTAAGTATACGTTTGCAGCACTCTTTTTATAATGTGCACACCATTTCTTAAACGTTTGTTCGTTATGATTTCGTATTTTTCCCTTCCGTGGGCACTTCTGCGAGTGTGCGAGAACCTTTTAATGCATGATAATAGTCGATGTTTGATGTAATGTGTAAAGGAAACAGTTCATTGCGGTCACTCGGTTTCTTGTATTTATATAGGACACACCCCTTTAACGTGCTTGCGGAAGAGACAAATACAGTTAGTGTATCAGCACAAAGAACGAAAATTTAAAACAAAAACAAAAATCATCTACAATTAGGCATGACTTTGGCTATTGAACGAAGACAGAGTGAAATGTCTCTTGGCTTGCACAACACGTCAAGCAACAGTTTGCAGTAAACAAAGGTAAGTAAGTAGGCTTCGAATCTCAAGTACATTTTTTAATGCCCTTCCATTCACTGCAAACTAGTCCTCGACGTAAAACAGTAACAGGAAAGCATTTTACTTATGCCTGTCATGATTCGAGTATAGGCGTATATATCAACAGTTCGTAAGCAGAGTCATGTTTATGCCACATAATATTAGCCCGTCTATGAAATTGACATCTATAATGTTAAAACTCTCACATGCGAAGAAAGAAAGGCAAAGTTATTATAACTCGTGGTATATACTGTACTTGCATACTGGGGTCAAGTCGAATCATTTGACTCACAATTTTTGGCTTTTGGCCATTCAATACAAATCCTATACATCATAAAACGAGAACACTAGAAGCGAGAAAAATATATGGTGTTAGTTACTTGGTAATCCTTTGCTTACACTTTATTTCCTAATTAGCTTGCATTTCCATAGGTTCAGCAGAAACAGCTGACGAATCCGTTTCTTGCAAATATTTCTCATTAAAGTGAATCACTATAATAGAAATATCGTCACGATAGTTTCGCGCCCGTCCGGGAGGAACCTGAAACAGACATAAACACATTTTCTCAGTGAGCTGAGTCTTAAACTTTTCTAGGTTCTACCTGCAAAATATCAATGAGCCTCTCGTACTGCTTGCTTTCCCCACCGCTGACTCCACCCAACGCATGCCTGATGATATGCGTGGCACAGTTCTCATCTATTGGCTTCTTATGGCTTTTCTCTCCGAGCTTCCGCTCTTGGATGTCCAACAATACCTGAAAGAAAAGGTGGTTATATGTCACTACAATCAAAAACGTAAACCATAAAAGGGCATTGAGAATTGATAGACTAGATAGCTTCTACATTTCTGCTGAAAGAGTTGCCCCTTGTGCCGTTTTTATGAGTAACAGCGAATATTTCCTGTCGATTTCGGCACAACGCCAACCCCTCTGTTGTCGTTAACATTTCCAGTCGATTTAAACGATACCAAGTAGGACGCATTCCAATGCGCACTTTTACAGATCACTAATTTTATAGCAAAGTGCAGTTGACCCGCATCGTTGAGGGCTGAAATCCATGGCGTATGGTGAATAAGGGTTTCAAAGGAAGCCAAGGTGAGTTTACCATGAAAAACTCTAAGGCACTCAGTGAAAAAACTGAAGTAGAAGATAGAAAAGCTATGCTGCCAGGGCGTTGGGTTGGCAACATGAACATGGGCTAGTGAATTCATTACTAGATGTTTTTATGGCGTCTTTACTAGATTCAATAATTTTCCTGAATGTAAGACCTGCATGCCGGTAAATGGTGCCACTGCCAAAAGTAAAGTTCGAAGATCCATCCCTCGAATGATAGTCAGCTAGTTCAATACAAGTCCGAAAATTCGAGCTCTGAATTGTATACAGGCTGGTCTTCACAAGTAGCTTTTTAGTCCAAAGGGACATTCTATTCCCCTCGCATATTACAATCCGAATAGAGAACAATTGCGAGGGCACATTTCAAAAGGTATCAATCAATCCAAGAGCTCTATCTTTCTAATCTGCCATGCACGTTTTCTCGGAATTGCTCGAGGCGTAATTCGACATAAAAGTGCATATCCACCCCTTTATCCTATTGATTTTTTAGCGAGACATTTCTGGCTTATGCTAGCTCATTCTACTCACAATCCGAGCACGTCCAACTCAGGTGTTTTGCCAGCCCACAGAAGTTTGGCAAGGTATCAATAAAACACTCGATCGATTAATATTTTGCAAGACTTGCCTGCTTAAGTAGCGAGCCGCTTTTCGGTTGATATGGTTGTAACGTCATTGTACCGATCGTGTGGTCATGAACAAGTCGAACAACGGTGTCAGGATCGAGCCATTCCCATAAACCATCGGTCGCTAACACCAAAAACTTGTCGTTAGCCGTTAGTTTATGGTAGAAAACCTCTGGTGATACCGTGAGGTAAGGAGGAGTGAAAAGATTCGGAGGAGCTGGACTACCTAACGGCTCCAGAACTACCTGAAAATATCGTAGTCATTATGAAAAACAATGGAAAACTAGTTATGATAAAACCTTCTGCAGATCGAGGGGCCATTTGAACCGGACATCACCGAAAGCACGCAAAGGGTAGAGTTCGCCTAACAGTCTTCCACCACGGAGTACGTGAATTTCCGATGTTGGATGAGACGCACGAATCCGTTGGACCTAGTAAGACATATCATAACGTGAAATTCAAACCCTCAACACGAAAAGAAAAGTAAAAAATCTTACTTCGTCAGTATTATCTACACAATGAGCTCTCGACAGCTGTCGAGCAATTACACTGCCATTCGGATTGACCACGCCTGGAAAAAGTTGATGGAAAAGATCGTCAGTAATGTCGGTTTTCTCCTTCTTTAATGATGCAGTGGAATTCAGATGAGAATTTTGAAGCAATGAAAGGCCTAGATTTACATCATTATGGAAACGTCGTTATGAATGTGGTGCTACCGCCACGCTCCATGCTATAAATCAGCCCATTTACATGAAAAACTGTAGTAGGCCGATGAACAGGAAATCTACCGTTTTATCAGCGCTGTTCATAACAGTATGTCAGAGCCGATTGTCGTGCTAGTGAATGGAAATAGCAGACTTCGGAGAAACAGTGGAGAGGCATTCTCTATAACGCTTATAGCACAATCGGAATTCACGAAATAAGGATTACTTATCAGATCGCATCCCTCATAAAAATCCTTGCTAATGTTAGGCTCACTCCCCAGCAAAACCATTTTGATAAATGATACGATTAGCCTCTGAACAGAGTACGAGGACAGCCAGACGAAAACCCGAAAAATCGATGGGAAAAATTAACTAAGAGCCTCCCAATTTAGAATACTTTTTTTTCAATTCTGGAAGCTTCCTGCAGTTTTAAGAGTGCTCTTGTTTCGTCATATTTTGTCACTCCGAGAAAAAAATAATCAAGACAATCGAATGAGTTGTCATTTGGACAATATTATGGGTTTAGGATCTGTATGTAGAAAACGACAAAGCAAATTCTATTTATGACTATCACAACAAAAAAAACGGAGGAAGAATAGATAATGAAGATCACATGATCGATACGTGACAGGTGATATGATACGTGAATTGTGAATCAAATTCATTGTTCAAACAACACTAGTTGATTATACAGTCCTTGGCGACCCAGACACTTTTTTTAGATATAAAAAATGGGATAGAAACACAGAGGCGACGAAGGACAACTGTCTGCAGCTCTGGGTTTTGGAGGAAATCGAAGACACAGTGTCTATTCCAACACTGTGCCTTCAATTTTTGTTATCATGTTTTTGTATTTAAGTGAGTGGTGAACCTCAGAAAATGCCAAACATCGAAAAATAGGGGTACCCAAAATATGTAAAAATAAAGATTGAACAGGGAAAAAGAAAATGAATGGAACCTGAAAAAACCTCTACCAACCTAACACTGCGGCACTATCTCCCACATTGGCTACATGAAGATT